AAACAAAAAATTAAAACTAAACATAAATATTTTAAATTATATTAAATAAAAATAGAATGAAATAAAATAAAAAAATTAAACCTCATTTTTTATCAGTGATCTGATATTAACCTTATATTATCAATACGTAATAATAATTTATGTTCTAAATGTAATAATATTAACAAATTATGTTGGATTAAAATACTAAAATTAATAATGCAATTTAAATTTAGACATCTTAATAATATATATAAAAACAATAAGAACATATAATTTCTTTAAATAATAATAAGCATTTAGCTATAAAAATGCATCATACTGGTATTTCAAATAATAGAAAGAATTAATAAAATTTATATATATATATATATATATATATATATATATATATATATATATATATATATTTATATAGAATATAATTTTACTAACAGATTTTAAAAGATTTTTAAATTGAATATATATCATAAAATTAGATTTTAATTAATCTTTCTTTCAAGAGAGCATATTATTATATTTGAATGCAATAAATTAATAGTTTCTATTATTAAATTTGAAATTAATTAAAAATGAAAAAATTGTTAACTTTTATATAAAAAAATTAAATTTAATTTACTACTATTTTTTTCAAAATTAATTTTATTTTATAATCAAATATTTTATAAATAAACAAAAAATTAATCATAAAATAAAATATACAAACATATAGTAAAAAATCAATAAGAGAAATAAAAAACTTAAGTTTTTTATTTATAATTTTTAAAAATAATCAAAAAATGTAAATTTGATTTATTATTATTATCTCCAATTTTATAATGAAAGCTAAAAAAATATATATAAAAAGATAGTATCAGTAAATATCGAAAAACTTCTGATATATCTATTTTTAAAAATTACTTATTCATATTATTACAATTTTTTTAAAAAAAATTAATCAAACAAAAAAAACGGAGAGAAAAATAGGATATTGCCCTCAATTTTTAAAATTGAACTAATTTTTTTAAAAAAATTAAGAAAAACAATATGTAAAATTAAATATATAGACGTATAATCCGATAAAATATCAGCATCTGCAATATAAGTATCAATACACCACTAATTAAGATTATATTAATTTATAAGAAAAAAATAAAAATATATTTATGTTGATATATTAAAAAAATGGGATAAAACTATATAAAAATACAATTATAATAATAAATAAAAAGTAAAGATATTTATCAAAATTTTTATTATTTTATAATTATTAATTTTTTTTAAAAGAATATGATAATTTATTTATTTATATAATTTTAGAAAATACTCATATTAGCATTTTTAGAATAGACTTTTTATTAATAGGAGAAGAAGAAAAGTTGATTTTAATATGTTAAAATTAATAGTATATAAAATAACTATTCATATTAATATTAACATTTTATATACTTTGTTATATAAAATTAAATAAATATAATAATAAATTAATAAAAATAAGATATATCCATTGTTATTCATATTATAAATACAAATTTAAAAATAAAACATATTTATAAAAAAATCATTTCTATCTATCTATAAATTTCTATAAATAAATAACAAAAAATACGCCAATATCTTCAATTTTTTTAGGTGGAGTATGTTTACATATTTTTAAATACTCCTGTTTGATTTTTTTAAGCTCGATTAGTGAAATTTAATTATTTACAATTAATTTTTCAGCACAATTTGAAAACGTAATTACATTTGATTATATATTTTCTTATTATTTTTACATAAATTCTTCTATAATTTATTGTACTGTTTTATCAATCTCTTATAAAAAATTAGCATCGTACTATATTTCCTTATATAATTTTTTTTTTTTTTTAAATTATTTTTATTACTGGTGCTGTAGAAACAGGATCTTTTGACTTTTTAGTTTAAAAAAGTAAAACATTTGCGATTTCTTAGCAAGGTGTTTATTCATTTATTCTCAAATGAAATAATGGCGAATCCCATCTATCTATTTATTTTTGCTATTAATAAGAAATAAAATGTTATTACTTTTTTAATTTGGAATTTCCATTCTACTACTATAGTCAACAAGCCTATTTTAAAATACTTAATTTACTAATCGAAATAAAAAATAATATACATGTCTTCAGTAAAATTATTCTAATTTTATTAATTATATTCTCTTGCTATTTTAATATCTGCCTCACAATATATTACACAATGTTATGTTTTATTAGATCTTGCTAAACAAAACATTTCATATCTATAACCTATAAAATTAAAAAATACATTTTTCTAAAAGATTTAAATAAAAACCTTTAATATAATTAAGTGAATCTAATATAATAACTGCTTGATTCGTTAAGTTTTTTTCTACATTTGATTTTAAGTATCCTCTTGTAAACTTTTCAGCTTAAAAGTCTTTTTAGTTTTTTTTTTTTTATATAATTTATATAAATATAAAAATATAATTAAATAATTCAAATGATGATTACCCTTATATGCTTCTTATTTATTCAATTCCAAATTTTCTTCATTTATATGAATAACCTTGCAATTATGCTCTACTTCTAAAAATTCTTTTATTTTTTTTGCTCTTGTCGTTTTTCCTGATCCAGGGATACCACATATTAATATTAGAGGCATCTTTATTTAGGAATAAATATATAATAAAATTATTTTTGAAGTATAAAATTATATAATATATTATATATATAAAGATAAATATTATAAAAATTAATCATTATCAAAGATTTTAATTAATCAAAAATTATTACTAATATTTAATTTATTATAATTATAAAAAAAATACAACAAAATTTTAATTAAATACAATATTATATAATATAATCATATAAATTCAATTTAAAACAAATATATATTGACTACTTTTAGTATTAAATATTTATTTTTTGTCCTTACTAAAATATTTCTTATTTTAATATACATAATTTTATAAGAAAATTGGCAAAATTTAATATCTTTATAATTTTGCATTTTATTGAAAAAATTAGAATGAAAAACAAAATAAATTACCAATAAAAATTATTCATTTAATAAATATTTATATTATTGTATTTTTTTTATTAACCATATCTTTATTTATAAAACATCTCTTTTTTTCTATTTTTGTTATTCCTAGACCTGCACATTCAAACATGAGAAATAACTCATAAAAATATCTGAAATAAAATATAAAAATTAAGCAAACAAATAAAGCAACTATAAGAAACGACTTATCAGCCTCTCTAAAATAAACCTATTGAAATAATCAGATGCAAATTTTCATATAATAGAAAGAATTCTCTTTACGTATATAAAAATATCAATTGATTATCTATGCAAAGATATTCGAATAAATTTAAATAGTAATAAATAAAGAAATATAAAAAAAATTAAATTGAATAAAGAATTTGGTAATAAAGTAACCTAAAAATCTAAATAATATAATAATCTTAAACAATAGTGAAGATTTTGACCCTTATTTGGGGTAAAAAGATTCTATATTAAAATATCAAATATATAAATATATAAATAATAATAATATCAAATCCATTAAAGTTAAAATATGATTTCATTAATCCTTTCTAAATCCTAAAAAGTATCTAAATAAATAAAAAAAATACCAAATAAGGCTGTATTAAATTTATACAAAATATTAAACCCAAGAACTACATTCATATTTTCTTTTAATTTATCATATTTCGATTTCCCTAATAATAAATAAAAATATCTAATTATTTTAAAATAAAATCATTATAATTTTGATTACTTTTATTAATAATAAATTAATATAAAAATTATTCTAAGAATTAGCCAAAACACATTTATAATATTATTAATTAAAAAAGATATATAATATAGTTAAATGTTAAATAAGTTTATTTTATTAAAATAGTTCAAACTATAATTTTCTTTATAATTCGATTAATTAAATAAAATAATTAATAAAAAATTTAATAAAAAAAAAATATTTATGAAAATAAATAAAAATAATAATATTAAAAAAAAACTTAACAAGTTGTTTTTAAAGAAAACTGAATTTTATTTTTGTGCTGTTAACAAAAATTTGATGTTATAAATAACATTCATTATGCTAATCCAGGAACTAAATTAGATAAAAACCGATATCGAAACGCAAGTAATAAATACAATTAACCAAAATATTAAACTAAATAAAAATTTGACCTAAATTCAAAAATTAAATTCGAGCACACCATAAACCGAAATCTTAGCCAAAAGCCTAACAATTTAACTATAACAATTAACTAATATTGATTCCTATTTCTTCCTTAAAAGTTTTCATCTACGATAAAAAATAAAGGTTTTTAAAAAACTTGAAAGATTGGGTTTAAGTATTGGCTTGATGTTATAATTAGTATAATTAGTATTTAATCATTTATATATAAATAAAAATTTATTAAATTTGATTTTTTATTTAATAAAAGTATAAATTTAAGATTTTTTATTTTAATGATGTTAAAATTCAAATATATTACATTTTCTAAGTTAAAATAATCGCTTATGTAAGTTTATTTTTTATTATTTATTAAATTAATTATTTTTGCAATCAATCTATTTTATATAAATTTATGAAACATATAAGCTTTTTTTAAAATATCATCAATAATTTATTTTACAAAAACGAATAAATGTGCTTTAAAAATAATAGAATATTTAATTGTTAATAATTTATTTAAAATATTATTTTAAAAAATGTTTATAAATTTAATTTTAATTTTTTTGTTTCATTAATATTAATGAAATTTTAATTTGCATGCTAATGCTATTTTTAAGTTACTATTTATATTAAAAATCTATTTAAACATAAAATTAAAAAAAATAATTTTAAACTTTATTTGTATATAATTTTTTTTTTTTAAATATATAAAAAAATAACTTTATATATTTACAAATAGTTTTAATATCATATTTTATTTTTTATAATTTTTTCCTTCATTTGAAATATACTTAAATAATTATTTTTAAAAAAAAAAAATTATAAAATTTATATTTTTTTAAAATGTTAAATATATAATTGACATATATAAACTTTTAACCATTGTGATAAAAAAATATTTTTTTTTTTTTACTAATAACTTTTTATTTTGTAAATAACTTTCACATCTCAAATAACTATCGCATTTTCCTGTAAACAACTCATGAAAATAACTATAAGAAATATTTTATGTTTTTCAATAGTTAAAAATAAATAGATTTTATATTATTAACTAAAATAATTAGACTTAAAAAAAACAAATGAATTTTGAAGAAAAAAATTTAAGAACAAATATAATTCCTAATTTTTCTGGATAAAATTAGATTTAAATATAAAATTGTATTCAATTTATAATGATATATTTAAATTTGTTTAAATTAAACTAATAAAGAATTGTTGCATCTCTGAATTAAAAAAAAAAAAATTGTATTTTTTTTAAAACGTAATTATTGAATACTTATATTTTGGAAATTTTTCACAAATATAGAAATTGATAATAAAAAATAAAATTGTAAATATATAAACTTACAAATAATGAAAATTTAATTAGTTTAATTAATTAAAATAATATTTACTTAAAAAAAATATATAATTTTATTAAAATTATTAAAGAAAAATATACTATATAATTAATTTAAATATATATCATATATTATAAATTTAATTAAAATTATCATTATGCATTCATATTAAAATTTTTTTGATTTAATTTTTATTTTTAATAAATTTATAAATTAAATAATAAAAAAGTAATTATCATTAATTTATTATTTTGCAAAGATTTCTAAATCAGTATTAAATAAACTAAAAAATATAATTATAGTGTATGAATACATATACTAGCATTTTGATAACAATTATTCATTAAATAATTTAAAATATTAAATCATATTCATATTTTTTTTAACATCTATAATAAATATTAAATTATAAGACTTTCTTTTCAAATAATAAAATAAGTTTAATAATTTTGTTTTTATTAAATATATATATATATATATATATAGACTATTTTATAAAAAAAATTATTTTAATTTTTTTTTTTTTGATTTGAATTTTAATATTATTATTTTTTATATGTTATTTTAATTTTAAAATTTTTAATATGAATTTAAGAAATTTAGAAAAAATACAAAATATAAATATTATAATTTTCTTAAGATATTAAATATTACATATATATTAAAGTTATTATTATATTATATTATAAAATAAATATAAAATTATTAATAAAAACCTTTATTAAAATAAAAAATGGAAAAATAATAAGCAGCCGGTTCTGTTTGGAATGTAAATTCTTGGCATTGGTAACATTATTATACAAATGAAAGAATTTAATCAATATATTAATCTTTTAAAAATAAAATAATAAAAATTAAATAAAAGGGAATAAAAAAACTATACATCATAAGCTAATAAAATATTAGAAGAAATTTTCTTGTCCTTAAACTTAGAATAAGATGGAATATAAATAAAACATTCTAAAATAAAATCTATAACAGGAGATGTAAAAAATATTCATTTAAATAATACTTAAAAACTTATAAAATAATAAAGGCTGAAATTAATGTTAGAAAAGGAAAATAAATTTTATGTTATGATTTTAATATTGAAGTTGAATTCATTGGATAAAATTAAGAAGAAGAATGTGAAGGATATTATAAAGTACATGGAATAAATCCAGATGATGATGACTTTGAGGTAATTACATATTTTTGCTAATTTTTTTAAAAAATAATAAAGGTTGATCATATTACTTTAAATTCTAAAAATAAATGCGGTGAAATGACTAAAAAAATCCTTTTGAAAAAGTTAAAAGGAGAATTAACTAAAGTTTTAAAAGATTTACCTAAAAAAATTGCTTAATATGAAAATGACCCTGAAAAAATAAAGTAGAATGAGTTGCTAAGATAATAAAATTTATAAGCTACATAAAAAGCTAGATAAGAAAAAGGTTAGGAAAAAGAATTAATATTTTTGGAATAAAGACAAAAAGAAATGGAAATGAAATAATAATTTGCATTAAAATAATGATTCAATTGCCTAATTAATTTAAATATTATTTATTATAATTAAAATAATATTTAATGATTATTTGATTATATATTTTTATTAAAAATTAAAACTATAGTTTTTATTATTATATTATTTAATAATTATGTTTATTTCAATAAACAATAACAAACATTTTTAAATTATTATTTTTATAAATATAAATAGATTATATATAAATATATATATATATATATATATATATATATATATATATATATATATATATATATATATATCTTTATATATTTAATATTATAATATTTATATTGATATTGATATTGAAAGAAAAATTAAATAATTAAAACATCCAAAATTAGAAACTGTATCTAATTTTTTTTGACTTTTTATTATGTTTTTTAAATGTACATTATTTATTTATTTTGTACAAAAAAATCAATTTTTTAAATAGAATATTAACTGAAATTTCTTTACTAAAAAATTGTTTATTTGAAATTATAAAATAAAGTTTTATAGTTAAAAAAATTATTTGAATATCAAAAATAAAATAAAAAAGAGTATAAAAATATAGAAAATTGATATTTTGGTTGCTGATTTTAATTAAATTATTGAATTCTCATCAACTAAGTCTATTTTCAAAGTGATTATAATTAAAGTATATTTAGCTTAAAATAGTATCCCTAAACATTGGTTATGAAGTTTGATTTCATAGTAAATCTATATTAAGAACTTAAGAAACAATGAAAAATTTGAAAATGTAAGAAGAAATATTACTACTATTAATGAGGATTAGTACATATAAAATATATTATATTCTATTATAATTTTGAATATTACTTATATATTTATACTGTTTATTTAAAGTTATTTTAAATACATATAAGTAAGAATAAATTAAAATAAGTTAATGCATATTTATATTATATATTGTTAATTTTTTTTTCAATGTACTATTTTTAAAAATATTAATATAAAAAAATCATAATAATAAAATCTACTTTAAAAATAAATTTAAATTCAAAAAAAAAAAAATGGAAGAGAAAGATGTTTAAAATTTAGTTAAAAACATACAAAAATAATCAAAAAAATTATAGGTAAATATTTAATATTATTATACTTGCTTTTTAAAAAAATATTTTTGATAATAAAATTGTAAAAGGAAGAACTAGAAAATTCAAAATATAATTAAAAAAGATATATAGATAATATTGATTAAAATATATTAAGTTAACATAAAAACAATATTAAATAAGATAAAATTTATCACCTTTATAATTGTTAAAATGAAAACGATGAGAATAACATGAATTAAACAAGTAAATAATCAAGAAATACTATTTATCATTAATAATTTTAAAGAGATTCCCATTCATTATCGCCTTTAAATTAATAAAAAGCAAATGTTTATATTTAATAAAATTAAAGCTAATTATAAAAATGCAATCTTAAATAAAATAATAATAACATTAAAAATAGTAAATCTTTAATTTATGAAAATAAAATTTATTTAAATGATTAAAACCATTAATTAAATGAAGAATATTTACCTGAATAAAATACATTTGAAGATTAAGAAATTCTACAGTATGATGATGATGAAGAAGATGTAAATTTATAAGTCTTTTAGATAGAAGAATAGGAAAATAAAAATAATTTAAAACAATATTTTAAATAAAATAATTAAGCAAATTAGCAAAAAAACTAATTATTTTTTTAAACTCCAAACATGAACTTTAGTATTTTTTATTTTAATATTTTTATAATTAAAAAAAAATAAAGATTAAAATGAAAATTATTTACAAGTAAGCAATGCAATTAAAAATAGAAACAAATCTCCTATAATTAAATAAGATAATTCCAGTTATTATATTTAAAAATAAAGAAATTTATTAAATTAAGAAAAATAGCATAAATATATTCAATAATTAAACAATTACTAGTAATAAAATCTTTCTTTGTTTGTAAAAAATAAATATGATAATTATTATACTAATAGAGAGTCTTCTATGTTAAAAGTTAATAATTAAAAATATAATAATGATAAAAGTGCAAGAAATATTAATTTTTAAAAATATTAATTATCATAGTAACAATCAGTTTAATAATAAATTTATAAACAATAATAATAACTATAGTAATAATAAAAACAATAATAATAACAATAATAATAGCAATAACAATAGCAATAATAATAGCAATAGCAACAGTAATAATAATAGCAATAGTAATAATAATAACAATAATAATAATAGTAATAACAATAATAATAAATATAGCAATAATAATAAATATAAATATAGCAATAATAATAACAATAAATATAACAATAGTAATAACAATAAATATAACAATAGTAATAATAACAATAACAATAGTAATAATAATAAAAATAACAATAATAATAATAGTAATAATAGTATTATGAATAGAATTTTTTTAATTTAAATTAAAGCAATCCAATTTAAGACTTAAATTAAACTAGTATGATTAATAAAACACCATAAAAATGTATAAAAAATAAACATAAATAAAAATATTAATTTTTTATTTTAAATATAGCTGCAATAAAATTAAATTAAAAAGATTAGGGTTCATAAATAAAAAGTTTAAATTAAAAATTAATATAAAGCTAAAATCAAATAAAAAAATTATAAAATCAAATAAAGCAAGTTCAAGATGAATTAATAGATTATAAAATAGCTTTTGATCAAGTTATAAAAAAATAAAAAAAATGAACTTTGAACAAAATAACCAAAAATAAAAAGATTTAATTTTATTTTATAAAGCTAATATTTTAAAAGAAAAAGTAAATAAATATTTTATATTTATTTTTTGATTTATATAAAAAAAAAGAATGAAAATAATAATTTAAAAAATACTAATAATAATTTGAAAAAGAAATTCTTAAATTTAATAAAAGTCATTGAAAAATAATATATTGATGATAATGAATCAATAATTAAAAACTAAGTATAAAAATTAATTTAATATTTTTTTGATTATATTTTATAGTCATTTGCAAAATAAGTATAAATTGAAAATGATATTTTAAGGGAAATTCTTTTTTTTGGAAGCAATAATGATTAAGTTTGTTAAAAAATATACTATTAATTTTAAATAGAAGAAGAAAAACTATTTCAAAATGAAAATCCACCAAATATAGATTAATATTTAGAAAACTAAAGATAGAAAAAAGAGATTGAATATGTTAAATGTCTTGAAGATATAAATGACTTTGATATAAATACTGAAGATTACATATTGTAATTAATTTAAATTTAGAATGAAAGAAAAGATTAAAATAAAACAGAAAAAAATATATAAAATTAAAATAATTAAAATCAAGAAGCATAAAAAAAAAAAATATAAGATGATAGCGATTTTTTAGATTTATATGAAGACATGAATATGGAAAATAATAAGGAAAAATAAGAATAAAATGAAACATATATAAATAAATAAAATCAATAAAGCTAAAAAATTTAAAAAGAGAGTAAAGAAATAAAAGCAAATATTAATATAAATAATAATTTAAATAATAATATAAATAATAATATAAATAATAATAATAATAATAATAATAATAATAATAATAATAATAATAATAATAATAATCAATAAAATCATGTTAATAGTAATTTATTTATCAATAGTACTAATTCAAACTTATTTTCAATTTCATAGAAAAATATAATTTCTAATAATGTATAAAATATAATTTAAAATAATAATGATTAAAAAACATTAGATAACAATAATTAACCATAAAATCTATTTAATCAAAGCAGTTTATTATCTTCTACATAAACTAAATCTATAATAAATTAAGTGAGTGTATTAGGAAACGAATTTTAAAATTAAAATAAAAACATGTTTAATTAATCAAAAATTACTTAACCTAGTAGTAACAAGTGTGTTTTAGGAAACACTTTTTAATAACAAGTATATAATAATTTATAATTTGTAGTATAAAACAATTAAGATAATTAAGAATTCAAAGATAAAAATTCAAATAGATAATAATTTTTAAATTCAAATTGTAAGTAAATAGAAAATGAATAAAATGCTATAGTATGACTTTATTAATAAAAATATAATAATAATTTCTATTTTTATTTTTTATAAACAATTTTGAATTTCGTATATAAATTTATATTATTAATAGAAAAAAATCAAAATCAAATATATCTCAATAGTTTTTAATTTTAGATAACTATAAATTTATTTATTAATATCTATTAATATATTATTTTTAATATACATATAAATAAAAACTCTTAAAAAAAGTTAAAATAATATTAAAAATAATTGTTTATTAAATGAGTTTATTTGAAAAATCTTTAATTTTAGGCTCATTAGCAACTGTAGGGTTAGCAAGTGTATATGCGATTTTCGCGCCATCTAAATATAAGTTGAATAAAGAGGAAGTAAAAATAAAAAGATAGAAATTATTAGAAGATGAAAATATGCGTATTCTATATTCTACGATGACATTCTTTTATTTATAAGGTTTCTAATAAGAATAATTAAATAGTTTTTTTAATTTATACGATATTTTATAAATATAAAAACCTCAACTTGTAGCTTTATAATTAAGTTAAGAAGAATATGAAAGTAAATATTTACCTATTATTTATCATCCTTAATATACTGAAATAATGAATAAAATAGAATTTTTATTGTCTATAAGAAGTGAAGAATTAAAAGATTTAAAAGAAATAAACTTGAAACATTTGGAAAAATTATACTTAATAAATTATTGTAAATATAATAAATGTAAAATTTTGTTTTGTGAAAAACCTTTAAATGAATTAAAAAGAATGTATGAAGCTAGAATAAAGTTAGCAAAATTAAATTAAGAAAAAAGTGATGGAATTCCTAATTAATTAAAAGAATATTATGATGAATAAACTAATGTTAAATTTTAAGAAAATGATTTTAATAGTTTATAAGAAAAAATTAAAAAAGAAATATTTGAAGATTACAGACACGATTATTTTGTTAATTAAATAATGGAAGAACTTAAACCTAAAACTAGCTTTATACCTCAAAATCCATATAAAACTTTAGTTGGAATTGTAGAACCTGAAGACTTGGAAGGAGTTTCTAAGGTTTGGAAATAGAAATTTAAAACTACTTATGGACATGAAATTTTAGAAGACGAAGATATTGTTTAAGAAAGATAAAAAAAATTAATGTAAAAAATGTAATGATACAAAATAATATTTTATAATAATATTTAGTAACCTTAATATGTATTTTTTTAAATATCTTAACCCCTTTAGAATAATTCCATATTTTTTTTAAAAAAATGGCCCTTTTATTTTATGTTTGAGATAATTATTTTATATTTTTTAAAATATATTTGTTTAATATATATTTTTAATATTTTTCTTATAAGATATGTATATATATATATATTTTTAAATATATAAATTTAATTATTTACATTTTTAATTTTTTTATATATTTCAAAATAAAATATATATATATTTATTATATTTATTTATGTCTTAAATTATATATTTTATTCATTTAATTTGCTTTTAATTTTTTACTTAATTTTAGAATAGTTTAGTTTACTTTAATATTTAGCATAATAAATATTTTTTTGTTTGAATAATATATATTTTTTTTGGTATATTTAATTTATTATATAATTTTTTTATTTTTTTTTATTTATTTTTTTATATTTTTTATGATAATGATTTATTTATATTAAAGATTTTTGATTATACATTTTTAATTAAATAATACTAATTATTTTTTTAACTTTACATTTTTACTCTATTATTAATATATGCTTCTTTTTATATATTTTATTATTTATTATAAAAATTTTTAATGTTTATTTAAATAATCTTTCTATAGAATCTTACTTTTTTAACATTATAGCCTCTTTCTCAAATTTTAATAATCATTTTATTATATCTATTTTTAAAAATTGCATAACATACAATTTTTAATTTTATTTTAAAGGCATAAATTACAAATTTTAATAAAAATTAATATATTTTTTTTATCTTCTGTATATATTTTTTATTTATTAAATATTTTTTTATTAATATGATATATAATAATTTTGTTTTTTTTATTATATTTATTTTATTTAATTAGTTTTTAATAAAAATATTTATATGATTAGTTAGTATTTTAATATTTTTAACCTAAATATTAAAATCACCTTAAATCATTTCAAAAAGTGTTTTTAATTTCTAAGTGTTAAAAATATATAATGAGAATATACAAAATAATCATAATCTTGCATTATTTTCAATATAACTTATAATATAAGGGTTGTCCATCGCATAATTAATATTAAGAATGGTAAGAAGGGATCTGCTTTAATTTAATTATTTAATAAGATTATTAAAATAACTAAGCCAACCAAAATAGAAAATAGCAATTAAAGAAATGATAGAATAAATATATAAAATAAGTGAAATTCTCATTACATAAGTGAAGTATTAATCAGTCATTTCAAACAAGAAAAGTTTAATAGTTTCTATAATATCAATGCAGTATTCAAAAAGTATATTAATTTCAATTAAATTAGTGTTTTTTTGCCAATTGTTTATTTTATTAATATATTCATTTTTATCAGTAAAATATTAAAAATTTATTAAATCTTCAAAAACTAAAAATATTCTTCGGATAGAAACTATCAATCCTTTTTTAAGTAAACTTTAATAAATACTTTTACATTCTTCAAAATTTAAATTTGCATAATTCTTCATAAAATTTTAGTCTTTGTTTTTTTCTATAGTTTCACAAGCTTCCTCGTTAAGTATTTTTAAAAAAAATTCTTCGTATTTTGAATGTTGATATCTTTTTTAACCATAAAATTATTTTATTATTTATGATAAATTTTTAAGAACTATATCATTATTTTTTTTATTGCCTCAATATTTTCTAATACTATATTAGGCATATACCCAAATAAAATATTATTAAAAATTGCATCAAAACTTGAGGAATAATTACTTGAAATTTAAGCTCTAGCTTCATATATAAAGCCTATTTCTTTAAGGCTAAGTTCACCTTCTTTCATAAACTAAAAAGTAATAATTAAATTAGTAACAGGATATATAGAAAAAAATCCAAAAGCTAAAAGTCCATATATGTATAAGTAATTATTTATCTTTTTAAGAGAAGATGTTTATGAAATATTCTTGTTTTTCTTTAATTTTGTAAGCACTAAAGTTCTAGAATTTTTAACTGAATTAGTCATTAATTTACTATTTATTTACTTTTCTATATAATTTATTAAATATTCAAGTTTAAAAGGTTAAAAAGTGGCAAATAATTTTAATATGCATTCTCTTTGACATTATATTTTAGCATATATAGGAAATATTGCAAACACGAAAATTGCTGATATTATCAAAATTATAATTAAAGAAACCCATATTAACTATCTTATTTAATCAAATTTTTTTGCTCCTTCTTCCTAGCATATTTTTTGTATTTCTTTTAATTTCACATAGTATTATGGCCGATTAAATTATATATAATAAAATGCTAATTAATTAAAATAGCCTCCTTTTATACTAGAAAATCTAAAGAAAAAATATGAAAGGAAATTTAAACTTTCTTAAAAGCTAGTATTATGTGATGTAGAAATAAACGTGTCTAACTATATATTTTTTTTAAAAAATAATTTAAATTATATAAATATATTAATAACTATTATACGTTTACTGAATTACTTAAGTCTTCGTATATTTAAATATTAAAGTCAGTATGAAGAATATATTGAACATATTTTTTTTCTGTGTTATCATTTAAATATTCTAAAAGCAAGCTTTTATATTCTTCATAATTAATTTATATTTTTTCTTCAGTATATGCTATTACTTTTTAAATTTTATCTTAATCTTTTATATCAAATGTGTCTTTTTACATTAAAAAAAATAATATTCCATTTTTTAGAACTTAAGAATAACTAGATCTAGTTTACATTGCCCAAGGGACATTTTTATATATACTTAATTCCTATTTTTTAGTAATTAGTATATTTAATTTAGAAATATAAAATATTATTATACATCATAAAATTATTATCTTGCTTATAAAAATAATATTGTAGTTACTACTAAAAGTACAATTAATGAAACATAACCATTTATATACACAATTTTAAGTACAAAAGGAATTTTACGTTCATTTATTTCTTTATAAATCTAAAGTTTTTTCGAATAGTTAATACTTAAAATTGAAGCTATAGATGTCTAATTTTATTATTTATTTTATTCTGAAATTTTATTACTACTTTTTGAATCTGAAAAAGAATTATTTATTTAGTAAATCTCTTATTCTTTTTGTTAAAATATTTAAATATTTTAACTTAAAATCTACAAAATTAATAATTTTATTTTATTTTTTTTTAAAAAAAGGAAATAATATTTACAATGTTTTACTATAGCTCTTTTTAATTTTAATTTTTTAGGCTTTTTGTTTGCTCTTTTTATTCAGTATTATATTAATTAGATTCATCTTATAAAGCAATACTTTCTTGATTATCTTTTCTTGTAGTGTTTATTTCTGATATGTTTAATTAATTATCAACAAACGAATGCATGCGATTACTATAATCATTTTATATAGCTTTAATTTTATTTGTTTAATAAATATTTTAAATATCGAACTATTTTTAAATGTTTTAATTATTTAAAATACTTAATAACTTGTTCATATTGTTTTTTGTTTTAATTTTTTTCTGTAATTTTTGTTTTAAAAACTCAATTGATTTTTTTTTTATTGAATTTAAATAAAAATATACAGATGAAATAATAACAAAAACAATATGAGCAAATAATATTATACATTTTGTTAGTTTTAATAAGGATAGATGCATTCAATTTATTTATTTTAGATTAATAAATATTCTTGATTAAATTATTCATTTACAGTAAATTGTTTTTTCTTTTTTTTTTATATTTTTAGAATATTACTTTATTCAATAATATTTTTTAAATTTTATGATTTGTTTATTTAACTTTTATCACTACCTCCTGTTTTATGTTAACATTTTGAATAAACCATTTATTACATAAAATTTCTTTGTTTTAAATTTATTTCATTACTTTCTCCTAATTAGCTTGTAGTTTCATCAAGTTCTTTTAATAAATTGTTTGTTATTTATAATTTTTCTTAATTGATCTTTATTCTTTTAGCTTTTCCAAATTATATGTAGTACACTGGATTTTATTTTATTTAATTAAATGGAAAAAACAAAATTTATAGTTAAATTTCCACAATTATTAATTTATCTAACGGTGTATTATTTATAAATAACTCAATTGTTGTTTTTAAATCTTATGGTCTATTTCTTTTTATATATTTTAAGCTTTCATATGTTGAATATAATGGTAAAAAAATTTGAGCTATTCCTTAATATTCTTTTTAATTTTTTAAAATATTTAATCCTATCTTGGGAATTAGTTTACAAATATCTAAACTAGAAATCTTTTCTTTTTTTTATTATTATAAATAAATTTAAATTTAATTTAAATTATTTTAATTTTTTTTTATTTAGAATTATTTATTTTAATTTTTTCTTTTTTATTATATAAAAGTTATAATATATTTTTTTCATTTAAATTTTATATATTTTTACCTTTATTTAATTATGTATATGTTAAGAACAAATATTTAAATGCTTTTTCTGAAATTTCCTTAATTTTTCCATTTTTATTATAAGTAATATATTCTCTGTCTTAATATAATAGTTTAGTTATCAAACAAGTAATACCAAAGTCATTATTTAATATTTAATCTAGTCTCATTCTCATATAAATGGGGCAAATAAACTTAAAATAAAATATTATTATTCATTTATTTATTTATTTTTAAAAAAATTACTTATTAAGAATTTTTAAATAAAAAAAAATAATTCTAAGTTAAAAATTATTCATACTAATTCTTATTTTAAAAAAATATAAAATTGAAAAATAAAAATAATGTACTCTTTAAATGAAATTTTATAAAAGATCATCATGCCTTTTTTAAATTTAAGAAGGAAGAAATTCATTAATACTTCTATTTATACATTGTTTTTAAGTATAACCAAATAAAGTCTAAAAATTATTTGAAACCTTTTTAACAGATCCAATTGGGTTTAATAAGCTTACATAAATAACACTAATATTCTCATCGAAAATTTAAATCCCATAATCATCTTTTTAAAGAAATTTTTTATAAATATGATTACTTCTTTTTTAGAAATACTTAGGTCTTCTCATCATAAAATCTAATATTTCTCCGTAAACTTCACTCATATGCATAAGCTTTTTAGATTCAGAATTTATATTAAATAATTATGTTATATTATTTATTAATAAATTTCTTTATTTTTATAAATCTAAGCCATCTATTTATAGTTAGTTTAAATTTATAAAATCTTCAGAAAGAAATAGTAAAAATTGTTTAAGCTTTAATAATGTTTCTTTAAATTTTAATGCTGTTTCATCAAACAATTAATCGAACTCAATTACATAAAATGAATGAACTCTTTAATTCTAAAAAACACTGCTTTCGAGAAATTTTTATTGACAAATATCGATTTTTCTATTTAATTCATTTATAATTATTTTTTCTAATGTACTAAAACTTTACATATCTTATATATAAGTATATAACTCTATATACACTTAAACTGGATTCTAATTTATATCATTAAGAAATGATAAATAACTAAAAATTACGCTTGTTTTGTTTTTACCTTTTGTCTTTTAAAAATAAAATAAAAAAATAATATACACTTTGCTTTTATTACTATATTAGCATTAATAAAATTTTTATATAATTAAATAATTAATTATGTTATAAAATTTTTCCTATATTAAGCCCCAATAAAATCATGTTTATAACTTTCTTAATCTTTCTTTTTTTTTAAAAAAAAAATCAAAATAAATTATTTAAACTTTATAATATTTTTTTTATATATACATTAATTAGTGATGTACAATAACAAAATTCATTTTTACAAGCACTTTTATGTTTTAAATATAAGCTTTCGAAAAAAATTCCTTAACAGCTTTTATTATTAATATAATCTTCGTAAAAGTATTACACATTTTTATATATTTCTTATATAAAATATTGAATTTCCATATTCCTCAGATTTTTTAATCTCTACTTATCAAATGCGTATTAAAAGCATTTTTCTAAAACTTAATTCTAATATAATCTTAAGGCAATATCTTAAATTTTATAAGATAGTCCAATAATTAAAATAAAAATGCTAATCAAATCAACAGATAGCTAAAAGAAAAGGTAAAAAAAAACGCTTAACCCTAAAAAAAATGTGTTAGATTAAAAAAGAAATATGCCCTTTTAATTATCATGTTAGAGTAAGGCATATCTTTTTTGAATTCAAAAAAAATTAAGAAACTAAAAGCAGCATGAATTATTGACCCTATTAAACTAACATCTAAAAAATAAACTAATGTATACAAAAGACATTTAATAATTCCTATGAAAGCAAATACACTAGGATACCTATTCAAATAATCAATATCAGTAAAATTATAATTGTAATTAATAAAAAATTGAAATAATACGATAATTACAGAGCTTATTAAGTTCAAAATGCTTAGAATTTAGTATTTAGTACTCGTTTTGTTTTTAATAATAAAATATAAAGATACTTCTAAAAAAGGTATAAAGAAAATGTTTTTGAAAAGTTTAATATAAATGCAATTTATACTATCAAGCAAATAAAAAAACCTGTTATTCTCATATTTAAACTTAAAAATATGTATTAAAAACTTCATTATTCCATAGAAAATAAATGTAAAATTGCTTATCAAAGTTGCGTATAAAAATAAATTATACTTACTTTCATTTATGATTTAGTAAATATTAAAGTATTTACATACTTAAAAAAAATAGTTTAAAGTATAATCAGATTTATTTTTACTATTTTATTTTAGTATATCATCGAAAAACAGCAAATTTAATTTTTAGATAAATTATATACCTAATAAAATTATTGAGATAAAAAGACTTCTATTGTGTTTATTATAAATTTAAAATAACTATTTCTAAATAAACTAATTTTTTAAAATTTTGAATTATTTAATAGAATTTACCATTTTAATATATATTTATTATTTCCTTTTATTTAATATATATTGTAATTAATTATTTATAAAAAAATTTAAAAAAAAGAAAATCAAAACAAATATTTAAATAATAAATAATTATTTTTAAAATTATAAACATGATAATTATATAATAAAATTTCAAATAAAATCAGATTTTTTAAATGTTTATGTTTTAAAAGAATTCGTGCTTTAATGCTTCTTCCGCACTTATTCTCTCTAACTAAAATATAAAAGTATATAATATATGTATATATATATAAATATAAATTTACAGGATTAATTTCAAAAAGTTTGTTTAACAAATCCATAGATATTTAATTTAAATATTTAAACCTATATTAATAAAAACTATCCTTTTTATTTTTAATCCTAAAATATAAAAATAATAATAGAAAAAACAACTAATTAATTTTTTTATAACTTACGTTTTATAAGAATTTAAATAAATATTATTATTCATATTAATATTTAATAAGGCTGATAACTTTTATAATTTATCAAATCCATAAAAGTCTATTATATCTAAAATTAACTCTTATTGATCACCATAAAATAAATATTCACCGTCAAAAATCTTATATTAAATTATAAATTTATTACCAAAAAAGCTATTTTTTTTTAAAAAAAATAATTATACCATTCTTTGTATGCAAACTCCAATAGCCCATATATCTTATGCATAAGTAAAATGTTATTTGTAATTTTCTTACAATATTTACTCGGGAGATTTATATACTAAAGTACCTGACTTTTTTAAAAAAATCTATGTGTTGTTATTCTATATTAAACATATAAATAACTTAATTATAGTTTAAATCTTGAGGCAAATAGTATTATGATTAACCCCAATCAACTATTTTTAATTATTTTAGTTTTAAATCAACAATAATATTTTCAGGTTTTATGTCGTTATGTATAATATTTTTTTTATGTGCCTAAGCAATTATCTTTAATAAAATAAATAAGAAATTAATTAATTTTTTAATAAAATACATTTAATAATTAATATGAATAAAATTTTATTTCGTATTCTGATAACTTTTCAAATAATTTTACTAAAGGAACGCCTGAAGCATATTCTAATACCTAGTTTAAATATTTTTAAATATAATGCCCATATAAAAATATATTTTATATAAAAATCAAACTTTATATATATTTTTAAGGCTATTTATTTTATTATTTGATATTTATTACATACGGCATTAAAATCTAAAATAATAATTCCTGTATTTTTATAATATTTTATATTCTAAATGTATGTTATTTATATATTTAAATTTAAAAAAAAATATTATTTCGGAAATTCAATAAGAAAAATATTTTTTTTTAAATTATAAAATTATTAGAATAATAACATTATTTGAATATAGAAAAATTAAAATAAATAGTTTTTAAAAAATACTTAAAATGGCTATTTTAATTGTAAATGCTATATGTAATTAAATAATTGTTATATTTTTTTTATATTATTAAGAATTATTTTAAATAAATAAAGATATTTACAATAGAAATCTATTTAGTTTTTTTTTATTGTACTATATCTAATAAATGAGCTATTCCAGTTATATTTTATAAAGTTTTTAGCGCTTTTATTTCTCTATTTATGCTTTGTAACTTTCTATCAGAATTAAAAATTTTTATTGCTATTTTTTCATTACTATTTACATTTTTTCTAAAGAATACAGTAGCAAATGAACCTTTTCCGACTTATTAGATACTTATATAGTTTTTTTCTTTACTTTTTATATAAAATAAGAATTAATTTATTTGTTAAATTTAATATTTAATACCCATACTTAAATTATATTTTTTTTTCATATTAATTTAAATAATCAAATATAATTTGTTATGTATTTATGTTTTACTAAATAATATAATTTAATGATGATTATTATGTATAGCATTTTTAACCATTTAAATATTAGAATGAATTCATTCTTATTTATTTTAAACAATTAACCGAAAGAATAAAATATACTATAAACATATAGTAAATCATTATTTATTATTTTATACTTTTTTGCTTTATATTTTTTTCTAAAAATAATAAAAAAAAATAGTATGGGTGATTTTATTAAGATTTAAAAGATAAATTTAATTTTTTTAACATAAAATAATTGAAACAAAAGAATATAAAATAATAATTAAGTCTTTAATCAATCCAAGAAAATAAAAAAAAATACTTTTTTTTTTTTTTTTTTCTTATGTGGACTTCTATTATAAGCAGAAAATACATATTTATTTAAATAAGATATTTTTTAAATTTAAAATAATTATAAAATATAATTCATCTAAAAAAATAATTAATACTAAACCTTTATAAAAAATATTTTTTCAATTAAATCTTTATATTAATAATTAAAATGTATAATTGTTAAAGATAAGCCTTGAATTAAGCCAAAAGTTTGAATGTTAGTTTAACTTTTAACTTGACCACAAGTATTGATCTGAACTTGAAAATGAGCATAGTTTAATAATAAAAAACTATTTGAATAACGAATATTATTAGATGTATTAGTAGTATTAGAAAAGTATATTAATATTTAAATAATAAATGACTGTTAATTTAGTTTATATTTTAAAAATAAATATTGAGAAAGTATTTATATTTATATATATTAGGGATAAACTGAAACATAAGTTTTTACAGAAAAATTAAATTTGAAAATTGTTAAATTTTAGTATAAATATTTATGTGTAATTATTTTAGCCGTGATATTGGCAAATGATTAATTATTTATATCTCTAATATATATATTTATTATAATTTAAGTCATATTATCAAACAAATTAATTTATTTAATAAGGAAATGTTTTTTTAAATATAAAAGTTATTTAAAATTTGTTTTTTAATTTAAATATAAAAATTTGATTTAATAAAATAAAAATAAAACTTAAATCATATATTAAAAATTATCATTTTTTTAGAAATATGGTTCAATTCGAATAGTTAAATAATAATATTATTATAATTATTATTCGAAACAATTTTCAACAAATTACTAATTCTAACTAGAAATATAAAAAATCTGTTTGATACATTTGTAAATGTTATATAAGCTGTAAGAATGCTCAATTCGAGTTACTTACCCATAAGCTGAGTCAATTAAATTTAACTAATATATAAATTTAAATAAACTTTATATAATTTTTTAATTTTACTATAA